TGGATAAGATAAAGGTTTATCGTAGGAAAAATGAAGAAAAGAAAAAAAGAAGGAAGAAATCAGAAGTGGAAAGGTTGAGGTCGGATGTTGAAGTGATATTGAGTTTAATGGAAGTGGTGGAAGAAGGAGAAAACAAAACTAGGGATAAAACAGGTTAATAGGGTTATTTTTTGAGAAAACATCATGAAAATAATCAGTTGGAATGTAAGAGGACTTGGGAGTGGGAGGAAAAGAAGAGCTATCAAAGATTTACTGAGAAGGGAAAAGCCAGATATTGTTTTGATACAAGAAACAGAACTGATGAAGATGGATGGGAGGTGGATAAGAAGCATTTGGAGTTCAAGGGGTGTTAGGTGGTCTTTTATGTAGAAGAACTATTGAAGGGTAGTTTTGTAATTCTACTATACTTTATTATTCTTTCTTGTACTGTATAGGCGTGTACTTTAGTGTACAGTTCTTTTGTTCTTTGTTCTCTTTGTAAGGACATTCTTTGTAAGAAATAGAACTGATGAAGATGGATGGGAGGTGGATAAGAAGCATCTGGAGTTCAAGGGGTGTTAGGTGGTCTTTTATGTAGAAGAACCACTGAAGGGTAGTTTTGTAATTCTACTATACTTTATTATTCTTTCCTGTACTGTATAGGCATGTACTTTAGTGTACAGTTCTTTTGTTCTTTGTTCTCTTTGTAAGGACATTCTTGTTCATTTACCTAAGATTAATATAAATATCTCTTTTCTGGGTTGGTTTGATTAGATTGCGCAACCCTAACAGATCTGAACCTTTGTCACTTTCCTTGCTCTTTCACTTTCTCACGAACTGACATGGTATCAAAGCAGGTTTCTCTTTGATCCTTATCTCATCCTTTTTTGATCAATTTGACAACTTTAATCATTGCCAATTGACTTTGGATTGTTTCGATTTCTCTAAAGACACGTTCTCTGTGTTTTGTGCATCTAGGGAAAGAGATTTCATTAGATCTCTCTCGTATGACATCAAATTGAAATTGATATCTTCTCTTATGTTCAAGGGGAGAAGCGGATTCAGGAATACTATGCAGGATTTGTATATCTCTGGACTGAATACGAACTGGCTCACTTTGGGTATCTGTCTACAAATTGTTATGTGAAGACTATGAAGAAGCATCTCAATAAGAGAAAGACCATGCATTTTTTGATGCACCTCAGGCCTGATTATGAAACTTTACGCTCCAATATTCTCAGTAGAGAACCAGTGCTTGAAGTTGATGCAATCCTTGGAGAGTTGTTAAGGGAGGAAACTCGTCTTCTTACCTTATCTGCACTAGATCAGAAGAAGGAACATGAGATTGATACTGTGTTTTTAGCCACCACACAGAAGGGTAAGAAAGACTTTTCAAAGTTGCAGTGTTATGAATGCAAAGAATTTGGTCACATGGCATCCCATTGCAAGAAGAAAAACTTTTGTACCTACTGCAAACAACAATGACACATTATAGTGGAATGCCCGACTAGGCCTCCCAAGAAAGGACAACATAAGGCTTATCAGGCCTCAACTGAATCTATTTATATTGATACTGCCACCTCATCATCAGCTCACAAACTAGATGCTCAGGGAAATTCTGACTGAAAAAAAGATTTGTGAGCTCATATTCAGTTATTTTTTCTGCTTTTTCTGCTTTTGGACTGGCTGGTAAGTCTGCTTTTTTGTATTCATCTCCTTGCCACATGTGGATTATTGATTTTGGGGCCTCAAATCACATGATTGGGGCCTCCTTCGGTCAGTCTCCTAAACCTAGCACCTTTGACAACCATATTATTACTGCTAGTGGTGATTCTCTACCTGTATATGGTTGTAATGATTTATTTTTATCCACTACTAAGACCAAACCCTTACATCTTCCCAAAACTTTCTGTGCCTAAATTGACTACTAGTTTAATCTCTGTTGGCAACTCGTTGATGATAGTAATAATGTCTTATTTTCGTGATGGTTGTTTTATTCCGGACCAGCACACTAGGGAGCTGAAGGGGAAGGGGCGTAGGCTTGGGAGGTTGTTTGCTTTGGAATTCGAGAATAAGAGATCTTCACCAGATTCTTGTTTGCTATCCGTTACACCTAGTTCTTCTATTTCTTCCTGTAATAATGTCTGGCATTTATGGCATAGACATTTAGGTCAAACTCATGCTAAAAATTTGGATTATTTAGTTTCCTCTAGTTGCTTGCCTTTGAATACTTCTTCAGTTAAAAATGTTGATAAATCTTGTTTAACTTGCTGCTATAGTAAAAGTCATGTTTTACCTTTTCCATCTTCTACTGAACATGCATCTACACCTTTTTATCTTATTCATGGTGATGTGTGGTTGTCTCTAGTTATTTCACGCTTGGGTTATAAGTACTTTGTGTTATTCATTGATGACTGTACTTGTCACGCATGGTTTACTTTCTTCGAAAGAAATCAAAAGTCTTCTCCATGTTTAAGAACTTTCATGCCATGGTAATGACCCAATTTAAAAGCACCATAAATATTTTGAGGTCAGATTCAGTGGAAGAGTACTATGATGGTGAGGATGGTGAGTTTCAAACCTATCTTAAACAACATGGCATTCAGTCCCAGAGATCTTGTCCTGATACTCCTCAACAGAATGGAGTATCGGAGCGCAAGAACCATCACATTGCTAGTATGGTGAGATCCTTGATACAAGACTCTCATACTCCCCTTACCTTCTGGGTGGAGGCGACCTGCGCTGCTGTTTATCTCATCAATAGTCTTCCTACACCTATTCTTGAAAATTCTTCTCCCCATCAGTCCTTATTTCATCGTCCACTAAACCTATCCATACTTCGTGTCTTCGGATGTGTTTGCTTTGTCCATCTCCCTCCCCATGAAAGCACCAAGCTAACAACTCAATCAGTTATGTGTGCTTTCATGGGATATAGTACGGAACACAAGGGGTTTCTTTATTATGATCCCAAAGTTTGTTGATTGTGCATTTCTCGCAATGTCATCTTTCTTGAGAATCTTTCATTCTTTGAACATATTTGTAAATTGTCTACACCATCCATTTCTATTCTTCATAATTTTGGATCTACATGTGATTTTCCTTCCCTCCAGCCTCTTCAGATGTATTTCAGGAAGCATCTAGTTCGCCCATTGCCTATACCTCCTCCACCTCTAGCAACAGTGACTAGTCGGTCATTCCTCTCCACCCAACACTATTGTAAGTACAAATTCTCCTCCTGAGGATTTACCTTCATCTATTCCTTTGCATCGGTCATCTCGTATTTCTCGTCCACCTGATCACTATGGCTTGTTTTCGAGTCATAGCTCCTTCTCAGCTATTTTGTCATCCACAGATATTCCTAAGTCTTATAGCCAAGCCATAGTAGTTGAACATTGGAAAGATGCTATGGATTCAGAGGTTCAGGCTTTATTGGAGAATGATACATGGGATTTTGTCTCTCCTCCCCCAGATGCCTCCATAATTGGTAGCCGGTGGGTTTACACCGTGAAACTCAAATCTAATGGTACTCTAGACAGATATAAGGCCCATTTAGTTGCTCAAGACTACAAGCAAGAGTATGGAATTGACTATGATGAAACTTTTGCACCTATAGCCAAAATGACAATAGTTCGTTTGCTTCTAGCCATTATTGCTCTCAAACAGTGGACAGTTCACTAGATGGATGTCAAGAATGCCTTCCTCCACGGAGAGTTACAGGAAACAGTTTATATGAAACCACCTCCCGGTTACTTTGACAATCCTCAGTTGGTGTGTAAATTGAAGAAATCCCTATATGGCCTTAAACAAGCTCCATGAGATTGGTTTGATCGTTTCCGTACAGTAGTGTTGGAGGCTAGTTTTCAGCAGAGTGCTTCAGACTATTCTCTCTTCACTCTCAAGCGGGCTTAGGGATTGAATCTTCTTTTGGTCTTTGTTGATGATATCCTTATTACTGGAGATGATGTGGATGATATTAATAAACTCAAACGCTTAGTAACTCCTTCAAAATGAAAGATCTTGGGCCAGTAACATACTTTCTTGAACTCGAAATTCAAAGATGTCATCGTGGTTACTTTGTCAATCAACATAGATATGCTTTTGATTTGGTGACTCTTGCTCGCTTGACTAACTTTAAACACGTTGATACACCTCTGGAGCTTAACTATAAGTTGAATAAAGATGAGGGTGATCTCCTTCCTGATGCTACCCTGTATAGACAACTTGTAAGTAGTCTTATCTACCTAACCATGACTAGATCAGACATTTCCTATGCGGTTTAGATTGTGAGTCAGTTTGTTTCTGCTCCATGTTAGCCTCACTATTCTGTAATTCTCCGGATTATTCGTTATGTACAGGGTACACTATCACATGGCTTATTTTTCTCATCCTCATCATCCACATAGCTCTGAGCTTGTGCAGATGCTGACTGGGCAGGTTGTCCTGACACTCATCTCTCTACTACTGGCTGGTGTATATTCCTTGGTGATTCTCTGATTTCTTGGAAATGCAAGAAACAAAAAACGGTTTCCAAGTTATCTACTGAAACCGAGTACAGAGCCATGTCTTCAGTATGCAGCGAAATAATCTGGCTTAAGACACTACTTCATGACATGAATATTGATCACTCTTCTGCTATTCCTCTGTTTGTTGACAACATGAGTGCAATCAAGATTGCAACCAATCCTGTATTTCATGAGCGCAACATATTGAGGTGGATTATCACTTCATTCGTAACCTTCTCCATGCGGGTCACATCTCACTCCCACATGTTTCATCGGATCTACAGCTTGTGGATCTCTTCACCAAAGCCATGACCAAAGCTCGACATAACTTTCTTGTTGACAAACTGATGCTTATACCCTAGCATCAATTTGAGGGGGAGTGTAGAAGAACTATTGAAGGGTAGTTTTGTAATTCTACTATACTTTATTATTCTTTCTTGTACTGTAATAGGCGTGTACTTTAGTGTACAATTCTTTTGTTCTTTTGTTCTCTTTGTAAGGACATTCTTGTCCATTTACCTAAGATTAATATAAATATCTCTTTTCTGGGTTGGTTCGATTAGATTGATCAACCCTAACAGATCTGAACCTCTGTCACTTTCCTTGCTCTTTCACTTTCTCAAGAACTGACATTTTAGCCCTTCTTGTGGGGCCTCAAGGGGAATGGTGGCAATATGGAAGAATGATGTGGTAGAGTCAATGGAGAAATTGATAAGGAGGTTCTCGATATCAATGAAATTCAAAAACATCAAGAATGGTTTTACATGGGTTCTCACCAATGTCTATGGTCCAAATAGATATTGGGAAAGAAATGAAATGTGGGAGGAATTCTATGCTATTAGGGGCTTATGGGATGGACCATGGTGTGTGGTAGGGAATTTTAATGTGGTGAGATTCTCAAATGAAACAAACAACCCCAACCAGTAGGTTACCGCTAGTCTGAGGAGATTCAATGAATTTATAGACTTATGAACTAAAGGAAATTCCCTTGCTGCAAGCCCAATTCATGTGGTCAAATTTCCAAGAAGTGACCTAATGCTCAAAATTAGATAGATTCCTCTTTAATGAACTTTGGGAATCTCATGTAGGAAACCTAGTGTCTAGAGCCTTACCTATAGTCACCTTGGATCACTGTCCTATTAAGCTATGTTCACAAACCTTTGCAAATGGCCCTACCCCATTTAGGTTTGAACTTTGAAAACATGTGGCTTACACACCCAAACTTTTTGAGGAATGTGAAGGCCTAGTGGAATGAGGTGTTACGTGGAATGGAAAGGGGTTAGATTTCACAAAAAATTAAAGAGATTGAGAGAGAGAATTAAGGAATGGAATAGGGAGCAGTTTGGAAGAGTAGAGGAGCAAAAGGTTACTCTCTTGTCTAAATTAGAGGAGCTAGATGAGAAAGAATCCTAGGGGACTCTAGTTGTAGAGGAAAGAACATTAAGATGTAGGGTTAAGAAAGAGTTAGAAGAAGTACTCTTAAGAGAAGAGATTTGTCGGAAACAAAAATCTGGTTGCAAATGGATTAAAGAAGGGGATGGTAATACAAAATTCTTTCATGCCTTGGCAAACAGGAGGATGAAAAATTATGTAGCCAGCTTAAAGATAGGAGGGAAGGAGATAACCAATTAGGAGGAAATTGCTAAGATTTTTGTGAACCATTTCAAATCAATTTTTAGAAGGCCTTTGAATGAGATAATGAATATAGCAGGAATCGGGTGGCCATGTGTGGAGATTGAGTTAGCTAATTGGTTGGAAAGGGATTTTGAAGAAGTGGAAATTCGGAATTTTGTTTTCTTAATGGATAGATCCAAAGCCCCTGGGCCAGATGGCTTTACAATGGCCTTTTACTAGGATTGGTGGGAAATTGTAAGAGATGACTTGATCGAGGTTTTCAAGGAATTTGTAGAGAAGCATAGAATTAGCCTAGGGGTGAATGCAACCTTTTAGCTCTTATACCAAAGGGAGCTGATGCTAGTCATCCAATGTACTTTAGACTAATCAGCCTAGTAACCAGCATTTACAAGATCTTATCCAAGGTCCTCTCATTGAGATTAAAATTAGTTCTCCTAGTCGTAATCACACAAAATCAAGGGCTTTCATTCAGGGGAGGCAGATAGTTGATCAGATCCTAGTTGCTAACGAATGTGTGGAGGACTTGAAAAGATCGAGGATGAAAGGTTTTGTTTGCAAGTTGGACTTGGAGAAAGCTTATGACATGGTGGACTGGACCTTCCTTATTGAGGTGATGAAAAATTGTGGGTTTGGGGAGAGATGGTGCAAATGGATATTTGGTTGTGTTAAATCTTGCCACTACATTTTGCTTAATGGAATTATTAGAGATTTCTTTCCAACTTGTTGGGGCTTGAGGCAAGGTGATCCCTTCTCACCCTTTCTATTCACCCTAGTAGTGGATATGTTTAGTAGAATGATCTTAAAGGCCAATAGGGAAACTATAATAAAAGAGTGAAAGGTTGGAAGAAATAGGGTCCCAATTACTCATTTGCAGTTTTCTAATGATATTATAATCTTTTGTGAGGGTGGAGAGCAAATTTTGGTAAGGAATTTGAAAGAGCTGGTGAAGAGGAACTGAAATTTAAAGCAGATTTGCATGGCAGGAATCATCTTGAAGGAAGAGGAATTGAACATTACAGCAATATTTTAGAGTGTCCTATTGCTAGTTGGCCCCTAACCTACCTAGGACTTCCTCTAGGTGCAAACCCCAAGGATAACAGATTTTGGAACCCCATAGTGGAGAGATGTGCAAAGAAATTGGCAGCTTGGAAGAGGAATTATGTATCTCTGGGGGGAAGGATTACTTTGATCAAATTCACACTTGCTAACCTGCCAATCTATTTCCTATCAGTGTTTAGAATCCCCTAAAAAGAAGCCAAGAAAATTGAGAAGATTATGAGAGATTTCTTGTGGGAACCGGGTGTTGGAAGGAAGGATCATTTGGTTAAATGGGAGGTTTTGTATAGGAATCTTCAACAAGGAATATTGGGTATTGGTAGCATGGATAAAAAGAATAAGGCTTTGCTAGGGAAATGGCTTTGGAGGATGGAAAGGGACAGACTATGGCATGAAGTAATAGGCAACATGCATGAAAAGTTGGGATGCAGGTGTATCTAACAGAGCTACTCCGGCCTTGCCTTGGAAAGCTATTCACAACATTCTACCTCACTTTCTCTGCTTCTTCAGGTATGATGTTTTCTCTGGGGTTTCTGTTAAATTTTGGGAGGATACTTGGGTTGGTTCTTGTCTGTTAATGGAACTCTTCCCCTCTTTATACTTAGTTTCTTTGTACAAAAATGTGTTTCAAGATTTGTTGTTTCCCCTTTGAATCCTGCGGGACTTAGTTGGGACTTTGGATTCCATGTAGGTCTTAGGGATAACGAATTTTTGGCTTGTCCAGACCTTTTACAACTCCTTCAAATTGTTTGCTTGGAACCTGGTAAAACTTCAGAAGTGGATTTTGGCCCTCAACCCTAAGGGTTTGTTTTCTTGTGCTTCTTTGTTCAAGACCTTTTGTGATTCCTCATATTTCTTCCTTTCCTTTTAAAGAGTTTTGGTGTAGACCCACTCCAACCAAGGTAGTACTTTAAGGGAAGATAAATACTATGGACTTGCTTCAGAAGAAAGACCTAATTCCTGTCACTCGTCAGCCTTGTGTGTCTTATGCAAATCCAGTAATGATAGTTGTTGTCACTTATTGATTTCTTGAGCCTTTGTTGTAGATTTTTGGCTTTAGTTTTCTTCTTTGTTTGGGTGTAGGTGGACTTTACCTATGGAGATTACTATGTTATTTGATCCCTCCTGTTTTACTTAAGGTTTTTAAAACCAAACCGGACAGGGAACCGTTCAGGGGTCCGATTCCCGAATGGATGACCCATTCTGACAAAGAAATAATAAAAAAGTAAAAAACATCCAAAAAGCGGTCCGTGTCGACAGGTCACCGCCTAGGTCAGCGGTTCGTTTACCAAATCAACGGTTTTTGGCCAAAAAGCAGTTCTGGACCTGGTTTTTCTGGTTTTGAAAACATTGGTTTTACTTGGTCAAAGAAGAAAGGGAGGATAATGTGATGTGTCAGAGCAGCCTTGATTTGGACCATTTGGGAAGAGAGAAATGCAAGAATCTTCTCAAAGGAGAGAAGCAAGGAAGAAATCAGGATTTGTGTGATGGTTAGGGTGATCCACTAGATCAAGACTTTGGAGTTGTTCTCCCAATTCTCCTTTGATGATATCTGGAGGAATTGGGAAGTAGTTGCTAAAAGCTCTAAGAGAAAGGGCAGAGTGGAGGTGGTCTAGATACTACCAATTGAAGGTTTTGTTAACTGAATTTTGATGGGAGTAGCTGAGGTAATCCAGACCCTTTTGGAATTGGAGGGGTGGTGAGAGATGGAGAAGGTAAAATTATAGCACTTTTTTCTGGCCCTACGGTATGGGTGATTCTCTCAAAGCAGAACTGCTTGTTGCAATTAAAGTGGTGTAGATAGTGAGCTAAACTTGACAAATGTGGTGATAGAAGGGGACTTGAAATTGGTGGTAGAATGGCTAAGGAATCTTGAGTCTACAATTTGGTGCTACAGGAGTGAAATGAAAAAAATTACATGGCTAACAAGGAATATGAATTTAAGGATACAATGGGTGAGGAGATCAACAAATGGGATGGTGGATGCTTTGGCTAAACAAGGGGTGAACAGGTTTATTTTATTCAGGGCACAATTGTAATGTGTTCTCTTTTTGTATGAGAGGTAGTAGTTCGTGCCTCTCTAAGGAATGATTGTAAAGATTTTAACATAATGTTTGTTGAAGATTAATTAGTTTTATGATGTTTTCCTTAGTAGATGTTTTATGTTAGTTGTTAGATAGGAGGTGGGGACCACAGTAGTTTTGTGAGTCCAAATTTTATTATGTTTTTTGAGTGTTATATATGTTGTTTTATGTTTTGCCGCCCTATAAGGGCATAGTTGTCTTTRTACTRKTCTATTATTTTAGTATAAATAATAAGTGAAGGGGGCGGCCAGATTATTGCTCTCTTTTCTTTCAACTTCTCTTCTTCTCCTTCTCTCTTCAAGAAACTACTTT